TCACCATACCACTACCACACCACTACCATTTGATACCAACAATATCAACAGAACACTAACACAAGTACCACCACCAGCACTAGCATCACCACAACTCATAACCGCCACTCTCACTAGTACTATCACCACCACACCATATCAACACTATTACCACACCACTACCCACCCTACCAACACCACAGATATTTAAGGTCCCGTTTATAGTGTCATAGAGACCATCATGTGTGTGTGTGTGTGTGTGTGTGTGTGTGTGTGTGTGTTGTTGTTGTGTGTGTTGTCTGCTGTCTGTCTGTGTGTTCTTAGGAATGCTTGCGTGGGGATGAGTGCATGCACAAAAGCGAGCATATATACTGTACTTCCTGTGTGTATATCTGCTCGCTCCTGCCGGCACATCAACACGGAATGACACGCGCGTGCCTGCCTGCCTGTCCGTGCATGACGACCATCACCCATCACCACTTCCCTCACCACAGGTCACGCAATGAAAGTACCTCCTTCCTCCCTCCCTCCCTACACCTCTCCTCCCTCCTAGGCATTTCCCATCGCCCTCCTCAAGACAGCGCTCTACCTCCTCTTCCTCCCTGACACCTCCCACCGTCTCTCCATTCCTCCTTCCTTCCCTCCCTCCCCAAACACCCTCCAATAATCCTCCTCCTCCTTGACACCTTCCATCGTCTTTCCACCCTTCCTTCCCTTCCAGATAACTCCCACAACCCTCTCCCTCCCTCCCTGCCTCCCTTCAAGACAGCCCCCTACACCTATCCTCCCTCCTCCCAGGTAATTTAACAACCCAGCATCAAATATTAACACCCTCTTTCTCCTTCTCCCCCTTCACTCCCCTCCGGCAGACAAAGGCACCAATATATATAGCAAGCAGGAGCCGCCTTGCTCACTTATCGCTAGTTGGCCGCCATTCACCTTCAGAATCAATACTGCGTCAATATTCATCATTTTAATAGGGAGGAATACAAGTCAACACCACGCACGAGAAATTAATTACCACGTACGAGAAATGAGTTACTACGTACGAATGAGTTATCACGTACGAATAATGAGTTACCACATATGAGAAATGAGTTACCACGTACGAATAATGAGTTACCACGTATGCGAAATTAATTACCACGTACGAATTGTTACCACGTACGAATTATGAGTTACCACGTACGAATGAGTTATCACGTACGAATAATGAGTTACCACATATGAGAAATGAGTTACCACGTACGATAAATAAATTACCACGTACGATAAATGAGTTACAACTTACGAGAAATGAATTATCACGTACGATAAATGAGTTACAACCTACGAGAAATGAGTTACCGCGTGCGATAAATAAATTACCACGTACGAGAAACGAGTTACAACGTACGAGAATTACGAGTCACCAAGTACGTACAAGAATTCACTGTCCGTGGCAAGTAAAATAGGTGTAATTTCACAGTTAAGTTGGGTTAGGGGAGTTATGTAGCATATATGGTAGTTAAGCACCGTATATAACAAGTAGTGAAGCATTATATAGGAGTTATATAGGCGTTAAAATACCTTATATACCTGTAAGTAGTAGTGAGTTATATCGAAGTTAGATACCGCATATACTATAAGTAGCGAGTTATTTAGTAGTTAAGATACCGCATGTAAGTAGTAGTGAGTTATATCAGAGTTAGATACCGCATATACTGTAAGAAGTTGAACGCCGTATATATGTAGCAGTGAGTTATATGAGCAAAATACAGTATATAACAAGTAATTCGGTGAGTTATATAGAAATTAAATACCTTATATAGAGAGTGATTAGTTATATAGGAATTAAATACCATATCTGATAGTAAATGGTAAGGTTGTGGTAAAATAACCAACCAATCCTACCCACCACCCACCCACTCCTATACCGTCAACCCACTCCCACCCACCGTACACCCACTCCCACCCACCATCAACTCACTCCCACCCACCGTATATCCACTCCCACCCACCGTATACCCACTCCCACCCACTATCAACTCACTCCACCACTGTATACCCACTCCCACCCACCATCAACCTACTCCCGCCCACCGTACACCCACTCCCACCCACCGTTAACCCACTCCCACCCACCATCAACTCACTCCCACCCACCGTATACCCACTCCCACCCACCGTACACCCACTCCCACCCACTGTATACCCACCTACACCCACTCCATACCTAACCTATCCACTTATAAGCTTCCAAATCGCAGGTGTCAAGACGGTGTATAGGCCACCTGGACGTCATAAGATATAGTTAAGTGGTGGAAGAGCATATAGAAGTTATAGAGAATATATCTGCGTTAGTAGTAAGGTAAATAGACGCATAGCATTCCTGGCTGACTATGTAATGATAGAGGAAGCAATAGCTGCTGGGCCTGGAGGTAATAGCATTGTTTAATAGGGGTGTATTGGCAGTGGTAGGGGGATAAGGGCAAGGGTAGGGGGTAGGGGAATAATGGTAAGGGGTAGGGGAATAATGGTAAGGGGTAGGGGAATAAAAGCAGGGGAAGGGAAATAAAGGCAGGGGTAGGGGAATAAGGTCAGGGGTAGGGGAATAAAAGCAAGGGCAGGGGGAGAGGGATAGGAGCAGGGGTAGAGGGATAGGAGCAGGGGTAGTGTCATACTGAAGGAGAGGGAGGGGAGGTGTAATGGCGTCATTAAGGAGAGATGCTTCCATTAAATTTACCTTCATCTCTAGTACAAAAATCTCACACAAACAATCAACGATAACGACCTTGCTCGAAAATTTCTGGCATTTCTCATTTGCAGGGCCACTTCATCGCTTTTTCTACGCTATAATTACTTGCACAATCAGTATTCTCACGACCTACACTCAATAGTGCCAACACAAATGAACCCCCCACCCCTCCACCTGGCCCTACGATGGGTTTCTGGGAGGACCAATGACTATTCTGTTGATGTTAAATCTTGTAAAACCTCCGTCTGCCAGAACTCATTTATATCCCGGAATCGCACTGTGGTTTCTGTCGACAACATAGTGTTACGTATTTCATATAATCTACATCAATTTAAATCATTCTGCTGTAAATGTCTTTGGTAAGGGAACGCCTCGGTGAATAGATTTGACAACGACAACTTGTATGATCTCTTTCTGAGTTTTATATTTATAAAACAGAAAGATGTTGCCTCTACCTTTAGATTATATAACCTTAGATGTCACCCTTAAAAGTTTTCCTTATATGCTTCCCACCCCTCCGTTTCCCCAATCTTCCGTCTTCCCCTCTCTTCACCTTCCCTTCATCTACCCTTCCTTGCATCTTCCTTCCCCCCACTCCGTCCAACTTGCCTCCCCTTTACCGTCCGGTGTAGCCTGGAGCCAGTATCGACAACGCTACCCTTCTAATACAGTATATCATCCGTAACACCTTATCTGGAGAATTGCAAACTCATAATAAGATGACCAGAGTCAATTTCTCTCACAGCCAGGAGGTCAAGATCCTGAAAGAGATAGAAGGAAACCCCTGGATATTTCCTGCTGGAGGGAAGAGGATATGGTAGAGGTCCCCCAAGGCAGCTTCCTACGGACCATATTATTATGTACAAAAGCATATCCAGGATCCTGATGAGGTAATTAGTTTGATGCTGTGTTAAGAGTCATTGAAGGATGACTTGTGGTTTATTTAATGTTCCTACTGATCTTCGGGTCACTGTAGGTGTGTTATGTCCCGTTGCCTAATTAATCACATAGAATTAAATATAAACCCACAAGTTAAAGGCTTCACGATCACGAAATTTGGGAGATTCTGTTTTTAATTTCTTCATTTATCGCACACACATTTGTAGGAACTACAGGTAGAGACGAAAAAATAAGGTTGAGTAAGAAAGATGTGTAAGTAGCAAACAGTAGAGGAAATGGATCACTGAATATTTGGTCGTCTATTAACATTGGTATTGAAGGCTACCTGATATAGTTCTGAAATCCATAAAATGAATTTGAATTACTTTAACTAGAATGTATTAACGTGTAAAACATAAGTTCCACATCAGACAACGGTATTCTCTCATAAACGCGTTAGTTAGTCAGTCACTTTATCGTCATGACGTTATAATGTTATATAATTTGTGCATTGTTTAGATAAGAGCAGGGGCGTCTGTCAAGGTGTTAAGTGTTTCAGTGTGGTTTTTACTCTTTAATGTTCCAGTATACTGTGCGGTACTCTAAGTATTAGGAGCTAAGATCTCACTTGCCAAAAGAGAAGCCCAAGGCAGGTAGTTAGTCGCTCTTGGCTTCACTTCTTATTCAATACAAAGTGATCATAAAGAGTAACGAACGACACATGTTTTACCTATTACCAAAACCTCTCACACATATTCGTCTGTTTTTTCATCACCACTGTCGAAATTTCTGTTACACAAATCAGATTTATTTTTGCAGCTTTACGTGCCATGTCCACTCAGTGGGAGCGTATGCAGTTATCATTTAAGGTTTAATGTGACACCCAAAGCTAGCCATAAAGCCTCACCTTGGACCATTGGGTAGAAGATCGACTGTAAGAGGACACAGGTAATATATATCTTATCCTATAGATCGTCTCCGGGCCAGTTGGTAAGGCCGTAAATCCCTATGAAATAACACTAAGTTAACCTCAGAGGTTGATTTTCTCTCTGTGGGTACGAGTGTTAAGTAAAAGTAACAGCTGATGAGAGCAGTAAGTACATTTTTAACAGTAAGGAACAGTAACAGCGACAGCACCAGACAGCAGTATTAACTCTGTAAATCTAAAAGACATACAACAGCACCTCCTTACAGCCTCGCTTCCAATAACCTTACATGGAGATAAACACGTGTATTAATAAAAGGCACAGCATCCATTACATATGTGCTTCCTGTCATGTGAATCTCTCCTTGCAACCTTCATTATTGCACATCAAGAGGGCGATCATGCAACACAAGGGCGAGTGAGGAGGCACAGATGACGACGGATGATAAAGATGGGAGGAGGGCCAGAGGGCGAAGGAAAATGAGGATGATGATGATGATGAGGGAAATTGGCCACAAAGATAATGAGGATGTTGAGATCAATGGCGATAATGAAGGTGATAGGTACTGGGTGAGAGTGATGGTGATGATGATGATAACGCGTGCTTCTGGATATGAAGGTGAATGATTGTGAGGGTGATGATGATGTGTATGATGGTAGTAATGGTGATGTTGATGGTTATTATGATGGTAATGGTGATGACGATAATAGTTTGAAGAAGGATGATGAATGAGATGGTGGCGATGATAGTTATGATAATAATAGTGATGATGGCGCTGTCATTATTGAGGATGATAATGATGACAATAATGGTGAAGGTGACGGTGCTTTCACACTAGCGAAATATAAAGATGATGATGATGATGACGTTGTAAATAATAATAATGATATTAATAATGATGACAATGATATAATGATAATGCAGATCAATAACAGAAACAGATAATCGCTGAAAGAAGGATAATTAAGAGAGAGAAACAGACGACTAAAGTCAAACAGCGAAAGGGGAAAGAGGAAGAGGAAGCTGTTAAAGTAAAGAAGAGGAAGAAGAATGAGGAGAGAAGTGATGAAGACCTATAAATTAAATTCTTACGATTATTACAACCTATAGAAAGGGGAAATGGAAAATAGGAATGAAAGGGGAGGACAAGAGAATAAAGAAGAGGATAATAAAGGGGTGTGCACAATAGTAAAATTTAAGGAAAAGAGAGAGAGAGAGAGAGAGAGAGAGAGAGAGAGAGAGAGAGAGAGAGAGAGAGAGAGAGAGAGAGGAGAGAGAGAGAGAGAGAGAGAGAGAGAGAGAGAGAGAGAAGGATAATGGGAGAGGGAAACAATGTGAAGCGAGGGATGAGAGGAAGGAAGGGAGGATGGGAGGCAAGGAAAGGGGATAAGAGTCAAGGAAGGGGGATGGGATAGAAGGAAGGGGAATGGGAGGCAAAGAAGGGGTAAGGGGGGGGTAAGGGGCAGAACGGAAGCAAAGAGAGTTTAAAGGAAGAGGTGAGATAAAGAGGAAGAAAATGAAGTCAGATAAAGGAAAGACATAAGGGAAGACGAAAGGGGAAGGTAAAGGGAGAGGAAGGACAATGGAGGAAACTAAGGAAAATAAATGTAATGGCACAAGGAATGGGAGAGAAGGGAGGAGAGGGAAAATCGACGAAATGAGGGGCGAGAGGAATGGTTAGGTGAAGGGGAGATGAGGGGAGGGAAGAAAGGAACGGGAGATGGAGAAGTTAGGGTGGTGAGGGGAAGTGAGAGCAAGGAATAAAGGGTGTGGGAGGGGGAAGGAAGAAAGTGAGGTAGGTGAGACAAGTTAGGGTGGAAGGGGAGGTGAGGGTAAGGAACAAAAGGGAGAGGGGAAGGAGAGGGAACAAAGGAGAAAGGGGAAGGGAGGAAACAAAAGGAGAAGGGGAATGGGAGGTTAGAGGAGGGAGGTAAAAGGAAGGAGGGGCAAAATAGGGAAGGGGAAGTGAGGAGGGAACAAAGGGAGGGGGTACATGATGCTCCCCACACCAGTACTTCAACATCATTGCAGGAGGTTGACGTAGCAATTGGTATTATATCGATCGCGCAGTGTTGCAAGGGCTCACCTGGCGCTACTAAGATTGGGGAGGGGGGTGATGAAGAGGGTGGTGAAGAAGGGAGGGGTGACAAGAGGGAGGGGTGGGGTGAAGAAGGGAGGGTGATGAATGATGAAGGGGTGAGGGGGGTGGGTGAAGAGGGGAGGGGTGGTGAAGAGGGGAGGGGTGATGGAGGGGAGGGGTGGAGAAGAGGGGAGGGGTGGATGAAGAGGGGAGGGGGATGAAGAGGGGAGGGGTGGTGGAAGAAGGAGGGGTGATGGGGAGGGAGGGGAGGGGTGGTGAAGAGGGAGGGGTGGTGAAGAGGGGAGGGGTGATGGAGGAGGGGTGGATGAAGAGGGGAGGGGTTGATAAAGAGGGGAGGGGAGATGTGAAGAGGGAGGGATGGTGGAAGAAGGGAGGGGTGATGGGAGGAGGGGTGGTAAAGAGGGAGGGGCAAGAGGAGGAGGGATGATGAAGAGGAGGGTGATGAAGAGGGAGGGGTGATGAAGAGTGGAGGGGTGATGAGGAGGGAGGGGTGAAGAGTGGAGGGGTGATGAAGAGGGGAGGGGTGATGAAGAGGGGAGGGGTGAAGAAGGGAGGGGGGATAAAGAGGGAGGGGTGATGAAGAGGGAGGGGTGACAAGAGGGGAGGGGGTAGATGAGGAGGAGGGGTGATGAAGAGGGGAGGGGTGGTGGAAGAAGGGAGGTGATGAAGAGGGGAGGGGTGATGAAGAGGGGAGGGTGGGTGAAGAAGGAGGGGTGATGAAGAGGGGAGGGGGTGGGGGTGAAGAGGGGAGGGGTGATGAGGAGGAGGGGTGGTGAAGAGGGAGGGGTGATGAAGAGGAGGGGTGATGATGGGGTGGGGATAGGTGATGAGGACAGAAGGGTGAAGGGGAGAGGGAGGTGAGATGGGGTCAGGAGGGAAAGGGGTGATGGGAGGGGGTGACGGTGGAAGGAGGGATGAAGGAGAAGGGGGAATGGGGGGAATGGACGGTTGGGATGAAGGGGGATGGCCCAATTCAGCGCCGCCAATTCAGCGCCGCCGTTTCAGCGCCGCCGTTTCAGCGCCAGCCCAGTTCAGCGCCAGACTATTCAGCGCCGAGACCTTTCAGCGCCTGTGCGTTCCGTTCAACTCAGAAGCTATCTGTCTTTCATTAACGTGGTTAGGTTAGGTTAGGTTAGGTTAGGTTGGTCGTCCATACCGGAGAGGAACTGGGAGAAGACAACAATTGTTTCCCACAGAGATGTTGAACGGAACGCACAGGCGCTGAAAGGTCTCGGCGCTGAATAGTCTGGCGCTGAAATGGGCTGGCGCTGAAACGGCGGCGCTGAATTGGCGGCGCTGAATCGTACCCTACCCAGGGATGAATGGGGGTAAGGTAAGAAGGATATAGGTAACTGGGATAATTGGGACAAGTGACAAGGATAGAGTCAATAAAGGGAAGATGGAGAGGGATGGTAAGGGAGGGGGGAGTAGGGGATAAGTCTCTGAAGGGAGGGAGGATAGATAGTGGAGGGGATAGTGAGGGATAGTGTGGAGAGAGGGAGAATAGATAGTCCAACTGTATCCTGATGACGTTTGAGAATGTATTCGTTTCTTGATTGCGTTTATTCTCGTCCCCCATCAACACCTTCCAGACTGTGATTATTATATGAGAGAAATATGATGATGATGATGATGATGATGATGATGATGATGATGATGATGAGAGAGAGAGAGAGAGAGAGAGAGAGAGAGAGGAGGAGAGAGAGAGAGAGAGAGAGAGAGAGAGAGAGAGAGAGAGAGAGATTAAGACAAGAGGAAAGAGGCAGGTATAGGTAGGTAGGTAGGTGTTCCCTGCAACAAGCCAAGAGAGAACAATCCCTCACCTCGTTCGGCCTCTCATGTGCCACACAAAGTAATCTCGCCTCTGTGTGCCCGGGCCAGAGAGGCGAGAGTCAGGGGGCAAGAGTCGTGGTTCACTGAGACGCTGCTGGCGATATCTGGCCATCGTGCGACAAGATAAAGCCGCCATTGATACTGCATTAATCAAGATTGCTCTTATTAGAGTTTAACCTATTATCCAACGTCACCAGGACCATTTTTCGGCAGGTGTGAGCTAATTGGGTTGGAGGTAAAGGGAGATAAATATATCCTACTAAACCCCAGAGATTGCGTATGCGCAGTAATAGCGCTTATCTATAAATTTAATAATCCCGGACTGCGCAGCGGAGAATACTGGGTTATATACTAGTGGTGAGCGAGGGATCAGCAAGTGAGGGACAGCTGTTAATATTAATAAGCTTATTTCTCTTTCCCTCATCACTGTTATGGAAAAATAGAGTCAACTGTAAAGGGACACAGAGGTCAATGTGTCTCACATGAGGAGAAAAGGATTTAAACTTAGGATCCAGAGGTCATAAGCAGGATCCAATTCCGATCCTGAGACCGAATGGGATCTGATTCTGAGCTATCTCATTGGTCGACACGTTTCCTGCCGTTTATTGGATGGTTGTGGGGTTCTGAATACTCATTGGGTGAATGCGTTGTGGAGCTTTCATTGACCGTCCCGTAAAAAGCCAACCGATAGGATTTTCCCCGCCAGAACTGTACAAAAGACATAAAAGACCATTTCACACAAAAATAACTTCAACTTGCGAAATTATAATTGGTATCCTAACAGGGAAGCGAAATTCTGATGTAGAGAATTTTGTTGGGGAATGAATATCGTGTTATCGAGGCAAGTTAGTTCTTTTTTGGAAGTTTTAGAATCCCTGAATTTAGCTCCGACAAACTTTCAGGCGGAGATAAACAAATCAACAACAGTGGTAAAGGAAGTTGGCGATTTTCTTCAAGCGATAAGGAATATGTATATAGACGATAATAACAGCTTGTGATGCAAAGAAAATGAGAAAATGGTGATGATGATGATGGAAGAAGAAGAAGAAGAAGAAGAAGAAGAAGAAGAAGAAGAAGAAGTAATAAAAAAAGTTCCGAGCACAGAGAGACGATTCCTGGGAAGTCGAGACGAAAGCGAACTTGTTGGAATAAATGAAGAAATACTTGGCCAACTCCCCGCCTTGGTAAAATGCGTTGAGAGTATTGGCGCACGATTCTCGAGTTGAGGGCTGGACTTGAGAGAGACATTTTTACGAATTTGAAAAGACTAAATGGAAGTCTGTGAAAATCTTATTTTACCGTAGGATTAAATTGACTGGAACTAGAGAAATCAGAGCTTGGAATACAGGAGTGAGTATTTGCATGTTGAGACTTATTTTTAGCTTTGTAAGTCAGCTTTTGAGAAGATGACCATTCTTGGTGACTGACTCGCTGACTGACTGGCTAAGTGACTAAGAAAATATCCCTCCCTTATGCCTCCGGTCCACTTACATCACGTATTCTCTATTACACCCCCAACATATGAAAACTGCTTAATCAATCTTCTTAACCTGTATACCAAAAGAAAGATATCTCTGCATGTGGTGATGTGGTGATGTATATTTTAAGACACTGACAGTAAGCAGCTCTGATAGGAAGGTCTACCTCGAGGGTTACTGACCACATTGTAACGCTCCTGCACGCACACATGCAAGCACACACAGCCTCACGTTCATTCACCAACCACACACGAACACATCTTAAACTTCAGGTACACTTATTCTCTCCTCGGGTACAGTTAGCCACACCTAGGGTACAGTTACTTAAGGCAGCTGCATACACTTGATACACAGGAATAGGTCTCAACGGGTGTGGCGGCTGTTTTTTTACAGCTCTCGAGAAATTTATAAAAGGCCTTATCATTATCCAATTTACAGTATAACTTATTTCAAAGTAGAATAACCATTTCAGTTCAGTACTTTGCTTCACTATACCCTGTAGATTCAATTATATGCAAGTTGAATCTACGTAACTTTAACTTCATGTAGAGTTACAGCTTTTTACTTTAGATATGAATCTTCACATCAATTTGACGAAACTTTTAGTTCATTATTGAACGTTTTCACGTCGTATGTTAATGATTTCACATCGAAAAGCTTTGCTCTCAAATCTGAAAACTTTAACTTTCGATCCAACAAAAAAATCGCTTTGGAACCATAACCTTTCCTGTGAGACCTAAAAATGTTCACTTCATTTTCAAAAGATTTTACTTGATATCTCTCAAATTCCCGTTAAATCCAAAAACTTCCCTTTACTTAATAAAAAAAATCACTTTCAAAACCCAAAACTCTCACTTTATATCCAAAAGACTTCCCAACCAGAATCATTCCCTTCAAAATCTAAAAACTTTCCCAAACAAAAAAGTACAACCAACGTCCCCCCAACACAGCAAACAACTTTCTCCCCCGGTTTTTCTCGTGTTCTCTTTTCATCAGTGATGGTAACATAACGTTCAGCCGGACACATCCCCAGGGATATACCGCTGTACCAGAGGGCTTTACCACACCCACCATGACTCTCCCTCAACACACATCACCAAATTATTCTCTCTCTCTCTCTCTCTCTCTCTCTCTCTCTCTCTGTTCGTCTCTTTCTCTGTATCATTCTCTTTCTCTCTTTTCGTGTCTTGCAATGTTTCATTGTCTTTCTCTGACTCATTCTCCTTTCTCTCTCTCTCTCTCTCTGATTCATCGCTCTCTCTCCGTCTCTTAGTCTGTTTCTGTTTCTTATCTATCTATATCTTCTTATCTCTGTGTCTGTGACATGTTTCTTCTATCTCCCTCTTATTTGCCTGTCCCCCTTCCTCTCTCCCTCTCTCTTTATATTATATATTTTCTCTATCTCTCCCTACCTTTCTTCTCCCTCTCCCTGCCCCCTCTCCTCTCTCTCCCTGTCCCCTTCCCTATCTCCCTGCCCCCTCTCCTCTCTCTCTGCGCCCCTCCTCTCCTCTCCCTCTCTCTCCCCCTTCTCTCTCTCCTCCCCTCCCTCTTTCTATCACTCTCTCTCGTTCTCCCTGACTCCCCTCTCTCTCCAGGCAACCATGTGGTCGTTTTCCTTCGCAGTTTCTATACCAGACAAAAGATTTTTAGCGAAAGAATAAACATTTCTGGAGAATTGACGTGACGTTTATAGTGTGGTGGTCAAGCCCGAGTCAGTTATGAGGAGTAACAGTTAGTTATAGAGGAGGCACAGTCAGTTATAGAAGAGGAAAAGTCAGTTATAGAGGAGGAACAGTCAGTTATAGAGAAGGAACAGTCAGTTATAAAGAAGAAACAGTCAGTTATAGAGGATAAACAGTCAGTTATGGATGAGGAAGTCAGTTATAAAGCAGGAACAGTCAGTTATAGAGGAGGAACAGTCAATTATAGAGAAGGAACAGTCAGTTATAGAGAAGGAAAAGTCAGTTATAGAGAAGGAACAGTCAGTTATGGATGAGGAACAGTCAGTTATAAAGAAGGAACAGTCAGTTATAGAGAAGGAAACGTCAGTTATAGAGAAGGAACAGTCAGTTATAGATGAGGAACAGTCAGTTATGGATGAGGAAGTCAGTTATAAAGAAGGAACAGTCAGTTATAGATGAGGAACAGTCAGTTATAGAGAAGGAACAGTCAGTTATAGAGAAGGAAAAGTCAGTTATAGAGAAGGAACAGTCAGTTATGGATGAGGAACAGTCAGTTATAAAGAAGGAACAGTCAGTTATAGAGAAGGAAAAGTCAGTTATAGAGAAGGAACAGTCAGTTATAGAGGAGGAACAGTCAATTATAGAGAAGGAACATTCAGTTATAGATGAGGAACAGTCAGTTATAGAGAAGGAACAGTCAGTTATAGATGAGGAACAGTCAGTTATAGAGAAGGAAAAGTCAGTTATAAAGAAGGAACAGTCAGTTATAGAGGAGGAACAGTCAGTTATAGAGAAGGAACAGTCAGTTATAGAGAAGGAACAGTCAGTTATAGAGAAGGAACAGTCAGTTATAGAGAAGGAAAAGTCAGTTATAGAGAAGGAACAGTCAGTTAAGGATGAGGAACAGTCAGTTATAAAGAAGGAACAGTCAGTTATAGAGGAGGAACAGTCAGTTATAGAGAAGGAACAGTCAGTTATAAAGAAGGAACAGTCAGTTATAGAGAAGGAACAGTCAGTTATAAAGAAGGAACAGTCAGTTATGGAGAAGGAACAGTCAGTTATAGAGAAGGAAAAGTCAGTTATAGAGAAGGAACAGTCAGTTATGGATGAGGAACAGTCAGTTATAGAGGAGGAACAGTCAGTTATAAAGAATGAACAATCAGTTGTAGAGGAAAAACAGTCAGATATAAAGAAGGAACAGTCAGTTATTGAGCAGGAGCAATCAGTTGTAGAGGAGGAACAGTCAGATATAAAGAAGGAACAGTCAGTTATTGAGCAGGAGCAATCAGTTGTAGAGGAGGAACCCTTTCGCTATAGATAGACAGACAGACTGACAGACAGACAGACAGACAGACAAACAGAGAGAAAGAGAGAGAAAGAGAGAGAGATACAGACAGAGAGACAGCCAAGTCATTAACACCCTTGACCCGTGACAGTTGGAGAGACAATTTATGGTTTAAGAGGTAGTGAAAGACACAGCCGGAACAGAGTCATTACTGCCCCGATGTGTGTGTGTGTGTGTGTGTGTGTGTGTGTGTGTGTGTGTGTGTGTGTGTGTGTGTGTGTGTGTGTGTGTGTACAAAGTGTATGATGGAGCACCGGCCAGATCCTATAATAATTCCTTGATAATTTGAGCGATAAGGGAAATAAATCCTCCTTAGACAGATAGTAATCAGCGGCGATGGAGATTTATATATAGAGAAGTGAATAGCCCTCAAGCGTCACCCAAACATCAGATTATTGTATATTGTTACATGGTCTTCTAGGATGGCACTGTGTTGATACAGGTACCTAGTGATGGTATAGTTTCAGTAGGTGTCTAATGTGACAGTTTGAATGCCAATATCTCCAGACAGTTGGTAGTTTGTGCGGCGTTGATTATACACACCTGGCCAAATATACACCTGGAGGATGAACATACCTGACGTATTTCCTTCCAAGTACAGTGGTGGTGGTGTTGTTTGGTGGTAGTGGTTGGAGGTGTTGGTGGGTGTTGGTTGGTTCCATGGTTGGTTGGTGGTGGTGATTGGTGGATGTGGTTTGTGCAGGTGGAAATTGCTGGTGATGGTGACTAGTGGGTTAGTGAAGGTGGCTGGTGGTAGTGGTTGGTGCAGGTGGTTGGTGGTGGTGGTATATCAAAGACTGTGTGTGGTGGTGATGGTAGTGGTGGTGGTGGTGTTGGTGGTGGTGGTGGTAGTGGTGGTGGTGGTGTTGGTGGTGGTGGTAGTTTTGGCAATAATGATGGGGGCTTAACAGAGACTATGGTAGGAGTGGTGGGGATGACAGTTTAACAAAGGACTTGATAGTGGTGGAGGAGGTAACAGTGGTGTTAGTGGCAATGGTGGCAGTCGTGATAGTGACAGTGGTGATAGTGGCAGTGTTATAGTGACAGTGGTGATAGTGGCAGTGTTATAGTGACAGTGGTGATAGTAGCAGTGATAGTGGCACTAGTAGTGGTGGCAGTGGTGGTGGTGGCGCTACACACGTTATATTAAATGAAGATATTAATTATGTCCCCAATATACAGGGTGATGACGTGATAACACAGGTGTAGCCGGGTGGAGAAAGGAGAGGGGGAAGACGGAGGAGAGGACTAGAGGAGGAGGAAGGGGGCGGAGAGGAGGAAGAAGGAGAGGGGGGGGAGGGAAAGGCGAGGGCAAAGAGGTGGGAGGAGATGAGGAGGAGGAGGAGAGAGGGGGAGAAGGGTAAAAAGAGGAGAAATAGAGACCAGGAAGAAGGGGGAGAGGGGAAAGAGCATCAACATTAACAATAACAGCAATATAACAATAACAACAACATGTGGGATCCAAAAGTGTCAGGAGATTCAAATGAATAATAACACCCACTATGCAACACCTGACAGGTAAGAGGGTTGGTTAGAAAAAAATAATTAATAAAGCACAGGTGAAGGCAAGAGATAAAGACCAAGAAACAGGTAGATTGAGTATTTACATGAATTAGTAAGATCTTAGAAATGTCGTGTTAAATGATAGCTGAAGAATTAATGCGGGTCGTAGACATTATAATCGAATTAGACGGAAATCTAACAAAATGAACGAACCTCAAGATTCAACCTAATACGAACTGTGAACTGATGTAGAGTGTTGGGAACGTTTGTGGAGGTTAAGATTCAATTAACAATATGCAAAGTGAGGACACGAACATGCGTAGATATATTTCAGTTAGTTGTTTTATTCATTTCCTGTCACATTCTTGCATTTGTCTTGTATTATCACCATTCTCCTAAATGTTTATCCTCCCCTTCTTCTTTAAATGGTTTCTGTGCCCCTGGGATCAACTCCATACAGAGGTTTTGGAGAGAAGTGAAGGTGACACACAAACAAATTAGTAATCACAAAAAAAAAATACGTACACCAAACAACGACAACAACAAGTAAACAACAACAATAAATACACCCAAATTAGCAACACAAATAACAACGATAACTACAACAAGAACGAAAGGATGGAAGAAGAAAGTCGAGAATGTATATAAGAATAGAACAAAGGCCGAGGAATAAAAAGGAAAGAAGACGAAAAATTTAAGCGAAAAGAAGTATTAAGGAAAATTATGATAATTAAGTATGGGAAAGGGAATAATAAAAGAGGGTGAGGTGAGAGAGAGAAAGAGGAGAGGGAATAATGAGGGGGGATAGAGAGAAAGGAGAAGGGTTAATGAAGGAGGGCAAGGAGAAATATGAGAGGGCGTAATGAAGTAGGAGAGAGATGAGAGGGATAAGAAAGTCGCTTAGAGAGAGAGAGAGAGAGAGAGAGAGAGAGAGAGAGAGAGAGAGAGAGAGAGAGAGAGAGAGAGAGAACAATAATCAAAAGAGGGAAAGGGAGGGAGGGAGAGAAGAGAGTAGGGGATAATAAAAACGATGAGGGAGGGAGGGAGGTAGAGAGAGCAAGAGGAGGCGAGGAGAAGCGATTAAGGCGGGACTTTTCTACCAGGTCCAGCCCGCCATAACAACTTAATCACCCAGATTTTTGGGATGGTCCTCGGAAAAAGGTAATTGAGCCGTGCAAGCCAATACTGTTGATGATATAAACCATAATTCATAGCTGGTGTAGTTAATACCGTCTAAAGCGGCAGCTATTATGGGTTATTAGTCGATGAGTGTATTGATGTTACATACATACATACATACATACATACATACATACATACATACATACATACATACATACATACATACATACATACATACATACATACATACATACATACATACGTAAACTAGTAGATCAATAGATGCAAAACACACGCACAGTACATACGAGTATATACTATTATTTATACGAGGTACACACATCCGTACACAAATGGACATATATTATTATCCAACATTGACTACACCTCATCCACCTGGCACTATCCACATCTCCACTCGGCACTATCCACACCTCCACTCGGCACTATCCACACCTCCACCTGGCACTATCCACACCTACACCTGGTACTATCTACACCTCATCCACCGGGCACTATTCACACCTCATCCACCTGGCACTATCCACATCTCCACCTGGCACTATCCACACCTCCACTGCACCATCCACACCCACCTGGCACCATCACACCATCCACCGCACTATTCACACCATCCACCTGGCACCATCCACACCTCCACCACGGGCACTATCCACACCCACACCTGGCACCATCCACACCCACACTTCACACCTCATCCACCGGACACTATTCACACCTCCAACTGGCACCATCAACACCTCATTCACCTGGCACTATCCACACCTCCACCTGGTACTATCCACACCTCCACCTGGTACTATCTACACACTCATCCACCTGGCACCATCCACACCTCCACCCGGCACTATCCACACCCATCCACCTGGCACTATCCACACCCCATCCGGACACTATTCACCTCATCCACTGGCACCATCCACACCCACCTGGCACCATCCACACCTCATCCACCTGACACCATCCACACCTCATCCACCTGGCACTATCCACACCTCCACCTGTCCACACACCTCCCCACCCCACACCTCCACCCACCTGGCACTATCGACACCTCATCCACCTGACACTATCCACACCCCATCCACCTGGCACCATCCACACCTCCACCTGACACTATCCACACCTCATCCACCTGGCACTATCCACACCTCATCCACCTGGCACTATCCACACCTCATCCACCTGGTACTATCCACACCTCATCCACCTGGTACTATCCACACCTCATCCACCTGGCACTATCCACACCTCCAACTGGCACCATCCACACATCCAACCGACACTATCCACACCTCCACCTGGCACTATCCACATCTCCACCTGGCACTATCCACACCTCCACCTGGCACTATCCACACCTCCACCTGGCACTATCCACACCTCCACCTGGCACTATCCACACATAATACATCAAGTGAAGAGAAGGACTCGAGCCAGGAAGCCCCCAAAGGAATACAGCTCATTATATATACATAACAAAATCCTTCATAAAATTGGGACCAATATTCCTCATCCCTTCTTCCTTCCATCATCCTTGTCCCCAACGCCTCGTTCTTATTCTGTCTTATTCCTTTCCTCCCATCCACTCCTTTTCCCTTACATCTCCTTATTCCATTTCTTTTGCCCTCATTCCTCTCTCCCTCATTCCCTATCTCTTCCTTCCTTCCGTTTTTCTTCAATCATGCCTCTCCCTCTCCCCTGCATCCACCTTCCTTCACACTCCTCCCTTACAGTCTCCCTCTTCCCTTCTTCCCATTCAACCCTACATCCTCCATTTCCATCTCCCTCTCCTCTCCTTCTCCCTCACTTCTACATTCTCCCTTCCCATCTCCCTCTCTCTTCTTTCACACATCTACCGTTCTTCTCCCTCCCCCCATACCCCTCACTCCTACATCCTCCCCTTCCCTCCCCACCTCTCCCTCCCTCACCCATCTGTCGTTCTTCACCCTCAACCCTACATCCTCCCTTTCTTCACCCCAACTCCCTTCCCTCACCCATCTGCCGTTCTTCACCCTCAACCCTTCAACCTCCCTTCCTTCACCCCTCTCCCTTTCCCTTCCCTCACCAATCTCTCCCCTCCCTCACCCATCTGCCGTTCTTCACCCCTCTCCCTTTGGACTATTTCATATGCAATGCAATTAAGTTAATGCAGGGGCGGTTGTTGTCGCCACACACCGCACCCTCAGAGATGCCCACAGCCTCTCACCCTCCCAGATATCTTATAATTACTTAGACATTTGCTGAACCACCAGGTGAGCTCTCTTTTTTTTTATCTTTTACCTTAAGCAGTTCTTACC